ATCAGCATCAGCATCATCATCATCATCATCATCATCATCATCGTCATCATCATCGTCATCGTCATCAGCATCAGCATCAGCATCATCATCATCAGCTCATCATCAACATCATCATCAACAGCATCATCATAATCATCATCATCAGCATCATCATCAGCATCATCATCAGCATCATCATAATCAGTATCACCATCATGATCATCATCATCATCAGCATCATCATCATCATCAGGATCGTCACCATCAGCATCGCCATCAGCATCACCACAATATCCGTGTAAATTGTAATAGTATTATCGTTATGTGTATTAGTCGTGCCCTTATCAGTACTCATACAGTTGGTCTGCTTAACGATGGGACTATTATAATATCTGTCACTGGTAATATGAATGATATGACTGCTAGCGTGAGTGTTAGTCGTGATAGTAGTAGTAGTAGTAGTAGTAGTAGTAGTCGTCGTAGTAGTAGTAGTAGTAGTAGTATCAGTAGCAGTAGTAGTAGCCGTAGTAGCAGTAGTAGTAGTAGTAAACATAGCAGTACTAGTAGTAGTGGAGGTGGCGATAGTAGTAGTAGTAGTAGTAGTAGTAGTAGTAGTAGTAGTAGTAGTGGTAGTAATAGTAGTCGTAAAAGAAGAAGAAAACGAAGAATGTGTAGTGTCAGTGATTGTCTTCGTATTCGTCGCATTAGTATTCATGGTATAACTCATATTCTCTTCGGCTTAGACATACCATTAGTGGCATGCTTAGTAATATTACTAGTAGTCAGAGCTGTATACTTATTCTTGCCAGGATGGATAGCAATCTTACTCGTCGCAGTAATGTGTTTAGCCTTAGCCTTACTATTAGTACGAGTGTTACGCATAGTCGTAGTCGTACTACGACTACTATTAGTCGTCGTAGGTTACTAGCGTTCGTCGTGTAGGTAATGTTCGTCGTTTTCATGATTTCTGAATAATTGTACGATTATTCGGAATATGATGATTGTTTGAATTACTCTTATTAACATGAGTACTCCTCTTATCAGGAGTACTAGTAATATACGTTGCTTGATGAGTAGAAAAACGAATCGTCTTAAATTAATGTTGTTTTTCCTCCTCCTCCTCCTTTTCCGCCTCCTCCGCCTCCGCCGCGAGAAGGGCGCGGCGATCGTGCTGGATGGGGGGTCCCCCCATAGGCGCCGCGGTGCTGCCGCGGCCCTGGAGAGCGGCGGTGAACGCGGTCGGGAGCCCCCCCGTGGCCGCGACCACGGACGCAGCGACCGCCGCACCGAAGAGGTGGAGGAGGAGGAGGAGGAAGAAGAGGACGAGGAGGAAGAGGACGAGGAGGAGGAGGAGGAGGAGGAGGAGGAGGAGGAGAGGGAAGGAGGAGGAGGAGGAGTAGGAGAGACGAGGAGGAGAGGAGAGAGGAGCGAGGAGGAGGATGGAGGAGGAGCGAGGAGGAGGAGGATTGGCAAACAGAGGCCCCAGAAAAGGACGGGAGGAGGAGAAGAGGAGGAGAAGGAGGAGGAAGAGGAAGTGGAAGAGGAGGAGGAGGAGAAGGAGGAGGAGACGGGCCAAGGGGGGAAGGGTGGTAAGGCCTCGGGCTGCACACAGACTGAATGTTGAGACCGCCCTGGACTACTCGGGGGGCCCTGTTGAGGCCAGCCGGGGCTACCCTGGGGGGCTATCTTTGCGCAACCAGGGGCCTTACCGCGGGGGGCGGGCGGGAAGGAGGAGGTAGATTGGTAAACGAAGATCTCAAAGGAGGAAGGGGGATGAGGAGGAGGATGAGGATGAGGAGGAGGAGGAGGAGGAGGAGGAGGAAGAGGAGGAGGAGGAGGAGGAGGGAAGAGGGGGGGAGGAGAAGGAGGAGGAGGAGGTGGACGGGCTGAAGGAGGGGGGTGCAGGGGATGGGCTGAAGGTCGTGGCCGGAAAGCATATCCGTATCCAGGGCCTCGCGGGAAGGGAGTCGAAAATGAGCCTGGTAGGTCAAATAGCATCCGTCTCCATGGGAGGCGGATGAGCTCACATTGCATCCAATTCCATGTCGAAGGAATACGATATGGGGAGTGGATGGGTAGGATAGGATAAGATCGATGCATCGGTCTTTCCAGCACATAGCGAACACTAAGGTAAGTGTCCGGGCAAATAGGGCGCGCGTGCCTTGAGCCAAAGGGCAACGGCGCGCGAGCTACACTCCCGATTCTATATAACATCTCCCAAAGAGCTACCCTTAAACTCGGGAGGGGGGGGAGACGGAGAGTATAGCCGCGCAGCCGTTAGGCTCTACAAAGGCCGCGCGCACGACTGTTTGCAAGAAAAACAGCGTGCACAGTCTGGCCTAACACCAGACTGTAAGGCGAGTTTCCTCGCAAGGCATTTCACGCAAATACGAGATAGCCCCTTCGGACAATGAAGGGCTATCGGCTCAGCTAGAGGTAAGCCAAACGGGCCATACCTCACCGAGCAAACGGGTATTAAGGCAAAGAGCCTGAATCATATAAAGCCGGCTCGTTGCCAGGCGTGAAATGTGAGGCTCGTTTCCGAGCACCTAGGAGGGCGCCTCTGTAGTAGGCGCCCATGCTGGCAAATTGGACCGCGGGGGGCAACAAGGACAGACTAAAATTGATTCGACTTGGGTTTGTTTCTGTCCTCGGGGCCCCGAAAGGGAACAAACTGCTTCGCGTCATACTTGAATGACTGAGTGCCTGACATCACTTCCAAAAGCAGCTCCCGATCGATGCTTCCCTTTGTATGCCCATCTGCGGTCATATCTCTAGTATCACACCACTGCACATTATGCACTATACCCATATATAACCATGAGCTCACGTATCCAGCTGATATGTCCAAGCAGGGTCCGTTCTGTCGGTATCTTAAGATCCTCGCTTGATAACGATTTATAAACCGACTCAGCGTCTATGGCAAGAGATACTTTAATGGCTAGGCCCCCAACTTCACGCATATCTCGTAGTTGTCGTGGAGTCAGAGCCCCTGCCTTGAGCTCGTGGAGAGTGATGAGCGTAGGGTAACACTCATCGAGGTTGTGTGCAGCTGCGAGTGCCTCCGCAGCAAAGCTGGACCTCACCTGCAGTCGGTGTGATTTGCATAGTCCGTCACAGAGGCGAACGACGGATTTGCCTTGAGGCGAGTTTCCTCGCCGTGGTACGTTGGCCCCGCGTATGCCGTAGCCCTTGGTCTCATCGTCCTCCTCCCCGGTGAGCTTCCGATACCCCGAATCGCTGGGTATGTCAACTTCATTCGTCGGCTTCATCCGAGGGAAGGTGATGCGCGTCGGGCTGCTGATCAGCTTTCGCGCCACAGCATTCAGTAATCTGACTTGTAGGTTGGTGGGCTCTTGGATTTTCTGGAGAGAGACCACGCATACCATGAGCCAGATTTGAGTAAGAAGGGCATAGGCGAGGGCTCCTCGCAAGCTGACGAACATGTCGGCGATGAGTTTCGCGGCTTTGGCATCGGCCGCCGCTCCTGTAAATTCTGGGTGTGTGCTAGGACGTAGTTGTTTGATATACTCGTCCTGATCCATGATCACATCCCCTTGGTCATTCTTAGTGTAGCGAACGGCGCAGTTCGTACATGAGTGTTTGTTAAGCTTACATTTGCCAAACACCTTTTCGACACGTTGTACATAATCGTCTACATTTTTCTCTAGGCCTGTCATAGTAATGTCATCGACATGTTTTGCCGTTAGCAAATCTTGGCTGAATCCAAACTCAGGATCATAACTGGTCGGTGTAAGGCCTATAGCTCGTGTGGTCGTACGAAGTTTGAGAGAGAACGCTCTTGGGGCGTCCCTTGCACCCGTTCCTGGCTTGAGGCTTCTGAGGCAGTGTCGGCTTTCGTCATAGGATGAAAAGCCGGGTAGTGCACGAAGTACCTGGGCACTTCCCGGTGGAAGGGTGAAGCAAACCATGCGAGTTGCCTCGCCAGTGGCATGGGCAAGTTCCTCATAGGTCAGACCCTGAAAGAACGCTTTGTCGATATCCATGGATGCTAAGATCCACTCCGGATGGCATGCCGCCTCACTTGCCAGGAGTCTCTGGGACTGCCTTCGGGCGGTTCCCGAGAAGGTTTCCACATCGAAAGCCTCAGTATCCATAAGTCCACGAAGGACAAGTCTGAGACGGATGGTTTTAACGTTCTCGGTACCTACCTTCACAAACTTCCACTTATATACATACCTGGATGTCATGATGTTAGAAGCTTTGGCTAAATCATACATCTCAACACATCGGTTATCAATCCAGATCTTGAGTTCAGTGTACAAAGCTTCACTAACCTCTTTTGGGTGTGCTGCTATGTCGGCTTTGGTGAGCAGGTCATCTTCCTTGACTACCACAGCACGTTTAGCAGCAGAGGATACATATACTCTCATCGTTGCGACCATATCAGTGCGACCAACAATACCTTTGACATTTCTGATGTAAAACATAACTCGACATAGGGACCATATTCATCACTATCAAGAGAGTCGCTCTCATCAGGTGTGGTTGAGCAGAGAGAGACTAGACAGGGCTCTTGTGGTTCAGGCTCGTCTCCGAGCGTTTCCGACAATACGATATCTTCTTCGTCCACAGATGCTGAAACCAAAACACATTGGTCGGGCAGCATGGTTGTTGGGACGCAGTAGAGATAATCGTCGGTAGTTGTCGTGGGATGAAGGTCCATACGTAACTCGTCGTACCACTCTTCCAGCATCATGGCTTCGATTTCATGTTCCTCGTTTTCTTCATAGATTGTCGACAGACGGCCTTCACTCGGCGATGAAGCACCTGGGGTATCTGGTGGAGGCCTGTTTCCAGGCGAATCGCGTTCTCCAGACGTGGCGCCTGAGTGCTGATACTTGGTCAGGTCGTCGTGAAATCCTAAGGAAGGAACACGTGAAGTCAAGCATTGGATAAGTCTGGAATGAGTGCTACCAGTGATTTGAGAAATTTTCCGGCCAGTGCCCACACACTCATAGTAGTGGAAGGCTGGGCTGATATCATTGTCGTAGCGGATCAGCGTAGACCCGGTGGCGTACTTTACTGCAGGTAGACTTGCCACACTTTTGGCCAATCTAACAGCTACTACGTGTTCTAATCGGAAATAATTTCGCACGAGATACTGTAGTGCTAGATGTACGCGCGGGTGAAACTTGCTGTCGTCTGAAAGATTGAGGTTTCCCTTGTAGTCTGGGATGTAGCCGAAGACTTTGGCAGGTTTCCCTGCACCGAGGTGTGCCACATACGTAAGGACGGTTTGCATGGCCATACTATCCATGCCAAGTTCCCGTGCGAGGAGACATTCAATGTATAGTGCGTGAAGAGCATCAGGATACATCACCATTACCTCACGAGATCCTGCCTTGACAACAATATGTCCTCTTTCAGGCACGTTACGGATCACAGGAGCATGGGCCGTTCCAGCCTCCATGATCGTCCTTAGTGGCAGTGGGTCGATGGTAGTCGACCAGATCCCCTGCTGAGTAAAGGCGAGCACCATCTGGAGCCGTTTTAGCCCTGAGAGCACGATTTGTCTTGGCCACAGCAGTGGCTTGAGTTATGGCTTCTAGGCTAACTTCCCTCACACGACGTTCCCGCGCGTGTCCTGATGTCTCGGGTCCCTTGGGAAAGTCAAGGGTGTCGAGGTCAGGAAGAAAGGAGGGCTGACGTCCAGTGTGTGCTTGGCATGGCGATACTCCGCTGTAAAACGTGAAAGCGTTGGTAACGAAGATGCTTTCAGCCAATACTCTAGTGAATACAACAGGGATGTTGTGTCTATTCAGCTCTTCCTCAATCATGTGGAGGACGCCCCTGAGAATACCGTTTCGTGACTCAATTGAAGTCGCGTGTTGGCCAGGCGCTCGGATACGGAGTTCTGTACCCTCATTAGCCATCATGGCCTTAGCGGTATCATTACTCAGGGCGCCTTCTCCGTCTGAGTATAAGACTTTGAAGGGTCCATGATAGGCAATCCAGCAGTAGTGGTAGGCGTCAAGTATAGCGTCACGTTCTCTGTCGGAGATTTATTGGCCTGCTGCCAGGCGAATACAGGGATCCATAATGTGGAATATGGTTCGTTTCTTGTAAAACATGAGATCCAGTTCGCCTTCATCGAGCCAATTACCAGGAAGGCTCACCGAAGGCAATGTTGAGTTTCCTGGGCGTTCCCACGCTCTGCATTCCCGACAGGTATCGCAAACTTCTTTGATCATATTCGGTCGAACGTTGTCCAGTCCCACTTTGTCTAGGATTAGCCTCATCTTGGGTTCCTTCGCATGATACCAC